TTAATGTTATTATTTAAAAGTTATGGATCACCTTACAATGTAAAGTAGAATTTGCGTCACAAGAGTAGGATTTTCATTTCGTATTTTCGTTGGTCATTCGGAATCCTACTCAATCTTGTTTTTTTTAATTTTTTATGTTCTTGTTTGTGTTAATTTTTTTATAATATTTATATTTTTTCAGTTACAATTGTGATACTTTTTGATTTTACACAAACAATAAGTTTCTTTATTATTGTTGTCATTGTTATGATTTTACAGCATTTATGAGGGACAGCTTTGATTGAATTGAATAGATATGGTGGAGCAATATCTACTAATCTGATGACAAGTGAAATAAATACTATAGTCTTGATGTGAATCATTGTTCAAGAAGCTCTATCTTCCCAGTAATCCTGTAGCTATTCCTACAGGTTCTTCCTGTTGTCAAGTTCATCATCACTCAGTAGTATTATAAATATTGTTTTGTGTTCTTGAAATAAAATAATTCATTACACACTTGATATATGCAAGATTAATACCTTCTCTTAGCTGGAAATCTCCACTAAGTATTGCAATTTGATTCCAAGCATAGCTAGCTACGTAAAAGATTACTTGCTGTTCCCAGTTTTGAGATCTATCCATCTGCATCTGAGCATGCGCGACCACGCCCAAATTTTTGGAGCACATGCTTCTCTTTATTTAATTAACAAAATGGCGGCACAAGGTAAGCTGGTGCGATCCAACAGTCACAGTATCACTTTTTCCTTTCTTGGAGAATGATTCTAGGGAACAAGGACCTGCGCATACCCTGTTGGAGTAGAATGGTGTAAGAATTAGCCTTCTATCACCAGGCAAGATCGATATATCGACCGACAACTGGATTGACAGGACTTTCCTGATGATGATGATGATGAAGATGAAAAAAGGTGGCTGAACAAAACGGCCGGTTTGCAGATTTTTGATTTTTCTCCCAGAAAAGGTCTAGAGCCACGCTAGTGGTACCATTGGAGTCCTCTGGTCAAGATAAGGTCCTCTAAGAAGTCTGGTAAGCATAAGAGCTCGTTTTCCCGGTATAGCAAGGCTGCAAAAGTCGTGGCAGCCATTTTGTTTGGGGGTGAATCCTACTTAGTAACGCTACTGCGTTACTAATACATGTACATGTAAGTTGTTTTGATAACACCTTGTCACAATCATAATTGAATTCCATTTCAATACAGCATAATGACTTGTATAATTAATATGTGTACAGTCAATAGTTGAGTATTATGTAGAGCTTTTATATTAATGATACATGTACATCATTCTACATGCATTCTTCAATCATTCAATGATTTATTTATTAAGTTAATAAATGTAGAACATTTCATGGTTCATGTTGTTATTGTGACCACTCACCTGACTTGTGTTACAGTGTCTTGTCCCATTAATACATGTATTATACTGAAGTGCATGTATAACTACA